AAGCCCGAACCTTCGGAATCCGTAAGCCATCTAGTTAGTTAATTAGTTACACAGTCAAAATGATCATGTCCCCAGTAAAATTAAGTTAGGTTATGTCATAGTATATAACCTATACTCTTTAAAATACTTTTATTATTATGCAACCATTAACTTACTTCAATCTGAGTCACATATTTCGAAACAGCTGAATCAAACAAAGTGCAAAAATATTCGAGGACAGCATCACGAGCTGCTGGTAGTGTTTTAAGTATAGAAAGTGCAGTACGAGCAAGTTCTAGAGGGTTTGTCTTCACAGCTCGGGTTGCACCAGCTACAAACGTTCTCAAGTCACTCATCAAATCTTGAGGCGGTACAGCTTTTATCACACTTGTTCCGGACATTTTCTGGAATATAATATTATAGGTTATGGCTACCCTACTCGTCTGACTACTGTGACACGAACTTCATTGTGGTTCATTTCCGTGCGGTTCCTGTGACAAGGAAAATGAACGGAATAGTTCGGTTTCATCGTTTCTAGCTACAACCTTGAGGAGCAGACAGTTCAGCCGCAAAGGTCGATTGTGTCATCATAATGCGGGCGATTTTAATATTGCAAAATAGCAAATGAGCAAAGGATGATCTAATTAGGTCACAAGGAGATTGTAGAGAGAATGCTGTTATAAGTACTTACATACTGAAAGAAGGTAAAGAACTGACAATTAGACATTAATAAAGTAAATTTATCAACATCATTTATAATATGTACATGACATCTGAGAGCAGCCTTGCTTCACACTTTAACACATTATTGATGTAGATCAATTCATGTTATTAATATTACCTTGCTGCTTTAACTTACAGCATGATCTTTTTTATATATATAATGCCAACTTGTAACAGGTAATAAAAATTTAATATTTTCTAGTAATCATTTCTGTTTTGATCGGTTGATGGACAAAATGTTTCCAGTTTCTTCAGTCTTCCCACAATAATTCCTTTTTGGTTTCTTGTCAGATTTTTCTACTGCACTGAATCTGTACTGAGAACATCAAACTAGAATTGTGGATAAACATATTTACATAACTGGAGATATCTGGTCTAACAACATAATATTATGGGATGTTTATCATGCCATAAGGGTATAATACTGATGATGCTCTACAAAGGGATACAAACAGTTGTCATTTGAGTGTATGAACACTAATAATGCAAATTTGTCAAACAAAGTAGGCATAAGAATTCAGTCTCCTGCACATTAGCCATTATGTTGATATGTCTATCTAGCATGATACCCTTGATATATCAAGTATTTTATAATGAATCTAATATAAAATAATAATAATTTGTATAATTCAAAAGCTTCTAATTTTGTGACATTATATTTTGTTTATACTGGGTATAGTAAGCCACAAAGTACACATAAAATTAACATCAGGTGGATGCATGATAGTGGCTCAAATATATGTTATTTTTTGTTTTACAAAAATCATTTGTATATTTGTAAGACTAAAAAAGCAATACTTACTCTTATTCAAATTACAGCATCATTTTCCACGTTTTCTTGTTGCAAAGTAAGTCACAGACACAACATAGCATGTGTCATCATCTGATATAAGAATTTCATTCTTCATAGTTAACAAATATCTTTTGTCTTTTTTTAGGTTTAATATATGGGCTGGGTAAGCTGTCATCTTTTCTTCACCAGTACATAAAATATTTTATGCCAATGCTTGTTAATGCAGGGCAGTTATTTCTCCCACCAATGTTTATGCACACCAATCAGTAAAGCGGTCTTGGAAACAGCTTACGATAATCAGAGACATTTCTGATGTTTTGTTATTCCTCTTAACTAAGGAGTCAATGTTCAGAAAGAATAGTAAATATGTTTCTGTTTTTGTAAATAACAGAAGCAAATGACCTAAGGTTATCATAATCTGGATGTGATAGTGTAGTCGCACTCTTGTTGAGCCCTGATACTTATGATTTTCTTTTTATGTGGCAAGTCATTCAGTTAGCATGCCTGTTGCACATGCTCGAAGACCTCAGTTTCTCTAGGATTTAAAGTCCTGAAATATTTGTAACTAACACTTCACAGAAGCTGATATACAAGCTCTAGAAATATGGCTCTTCCTGCTACGATTACTGTTTCCAAGGTTATTCTGTTTATTTCAAGCATCTTTAAAGAAGTGCAAAAGAATGTTTTTATTATAAGTCAGAACTTGTTGGAAGCATTGGGTTGCAACTTGCTCATGAAGCATGTAAGTATGAAAAGATACTAAGTGTAACAGTGTATGTAGTGTCGTTTACCTTTTACACAGACTAACAAAATGTCATGTAATGTATGAGTGGTATAAGTAAAAAAACACCTCTGTATAAGATGGCTGTATGTTTCTTAGTTTATTTAAAGACACTTCCTTAATTAAACATGGTATATAGCAGGCAAATTTTAGGTGGCATTGAAAGGATTATTCAGATGCAATTTTAAATTAAAATTTCATATTTGTGAACTAGGATTTTAGAATTATGAAGTCCATTTCATCATTGTTATTTCCATCTTTTTTTCTGTTGAGGTACGATTCCATAATTTGCATAATATCCTATAATAGAAGATCTGAGGTAGACTATGAAAAAAGTGTCAGATTTCCTGTCTTCAATGCTAGGAATAAAAAAATGGTACTGGCTGAATGCAAAGGAATGTTAATTATTCAGTCATAAAGATTAGTTGTTTAGATTGTTTAATTTTTAGAATCTGTACTAACCATATGCTGGTCTTTTAAATTGTAGGTGTACAAATACAACAATAGTTTAAATACCATCTTTGAAAGTTTAATCCAGATAGACATGATACACTTTTAGATGGATGGTCTGTTGTGTTATTTGATACCAAAACAAGTTTTTAATGTTACAGCTACCAGTTTTTGTTTTTTGTTTTTGTGTATCTGCTAACTCCTTTATTCATAAAAACTTACCGAACCATGTGTCTCTCTGAGTTGTATCAGATAACCTGAGTATAGAGTGTTACAGTGGCATCCAAGTTTTAACATTCAGTTCTATCACTGCCACACTCCTGCCTCGTACAGTTCATATACGTCAGAGTGCAAGTTGTAGACATATAGTGTGATTATTTTTGTTTTAAGACAAAGTTATGTGTAGTGTTTCTTTTTCAGAACCTTTGGTAAGAATCTCTCGTGTGATTTTATAGAACAGTTATTGCATTTATGTTCTGTGTGTAGTGGATGTATCCTTTTCGCCACAAATATGCCCCTACTACAGGTTTGCATTGATTTTGCAGCTATTAAGTAAGATGGTTTCGCGAAAGCAGAGTATAACGTCCATCGGGCCTGTACTTGGGTTTGTTGGCAATTCTCCAGGAACGGTAGCAAACCAGATCCGTGTTTTGACACTCAATGATGGAGAACACCAAGATTCTACTTTGTATCGTCTACAGAAAGGTTAGTACAGACCTAAGTTAATATCAGGTTCGCCGAGTAAGGGCACTGGATCTTAACCTTCTATTGGTATATATACTGTACTTGAATAGAATCCCATGCTATTATGAGCAATTATAATTTCCATACTAGTACCTAACAATAATTTAAGATCAAATGAAATTTGAGGCTCTCACAGCGATGAGTCTGATGATGGCTGTCTTCTGGGTTGGTGCACCATGTAGTCTGGTAGAAGTTAATTGACACTTCAGAGGTGCCTGCTGCTTCCGCCAGGCAACGTGATTGACGTTAGATCTTTCAAATGGACCCAACAGAGTAGGTTCCCCCCCCCCTTCTTTATACCCAAAAACAAAGACAAATATTTCTATTATTTTTTCTGACAGTAATACATTTATTGATAATCTTGTATTTTTATATTAATCAGGGTGGCAACTTCAGTTCCGTCTTGGTCCCTCATTATTTGGCCGAAAAGTTACAGTTTATTGTAACCATCCTGAGGAAGTAGAGGAAGATTATGTTAGAAACCGATATCGACCCCTACGGTGGGAGTCGGACGAAGATACTCATACGGGCGATCACACATCATCATTTGCAGAAGTTGCAATCCGAAGAGCAGGCTCCTTCCATTACTACTTCATATATGACGGCAGGTTAGTATGTGGGTATAACTGGCCGAGTATTTTATCTGGATCTACGGATCTGGTAAAATTCCACTCGCCATACAGATGTCTTGTAGTTACTAGTGTAAAAAAATGGTTAAAGTTCTGAAATGTTGATTAAAAGTATACTAAACCTATTCAACCAACATATTTTGCGCATATTTTAATTGCCGTTGTGTTATTTTTTAGAGATATCAGAAGTATTTTGATGCTGAGTAAGCGAATTCTAGTATCTAGTTTTAGAATGCATGTCTTCTTCTTCTTCCGTTTCTTGACCATTACTTCGGTCTACCAGTGCCTAATATTTTCTTCAATTCTTCTCTATTTTCCCATCCTTCAGGGTGCATGTAAAGAACAGAATTCTTGGAGAGGAGGATAAATAGTTGAATGTCACAATAAAACTTGTCATTTAATTAAACACCTGCTGTATTATAAAATAAATAACAAATATATGCTCTTTACCACTATAAATAAATTATTTTTTGTCTAGACATCAGAGTCATCATAATAGCAGCTAGTAAGCATTATTTGTAATTATTTCTATGCTGAGTTTTCATGGTATATGGACTTATAGGTGAGTAACAATGTTTCAAAAGAATGGATCACCTCCGTCTTCAGGGATGAAGATGGAGGCTAAACGTTGTTACCCACCTACAAGTCCACACAGCGTCACAACGCAGAAGACCACCATCGGCAATTCATTTCTGTTTACAGTGAAGTCCCAGGACCTCAAGGATCTGGTTTCTTCACAGTCGACCCCGTCCTCACGTACGGGTCAGATGAAGTATTGCCCTTGGACTGTATACAATGTCAGACTGTTTTAGCCAAAAGTCTGGGCCCTTTCGATACATGGGAAAGGAAACTGAAAGTGGCTAAAGAGAGTGGGTACAATATGATCCACTTCACCCCAATCCAGGTATTTGAATATATTTTATTAATGTAAAGTCTTTTATTCTCATGTGAATGTTACTTATGAAATCTGGTTTAACACCCCTGAAAGCGAAGTCAAATTATACAGTGATTAAAATCTCAGCATGACACCGTCAAAATTATTATCATGATTCATTATATACTTCATAACCATTTGGCTGGATGATGAGCAGAGTACTTAGACTTGATTCAAATCAAGTCTTAATTAATAAGAAATTAAATTGCGTAAAATTTCCTGATTGTCAAGTCTGATGTATGAGACTTCGTCTGCCCACGAAAGGTGCTAATATAAAGCAGGAGTTGTCACAATTTTAGCATGCCATAATTTTGCAATTTAAGAATGTAGTACAGATTTACCTTTTAACAAGAATTCCGTAAGAATACTTCAGTCATGAGACGTTCTCTTACAGGAACTTGGTGGTTCCAATTCGTCATACAGCCTCAGCAACCAACAGAAGCTGAATCCTGTATTCAACAACAACAACAAAGAAATTGATATCAGTGATGTTGAGAAGTTTATAGCGAAATTAAGGAATGAATGGAAGGTACAGCAGGAGGATATTTAATTACTCTTTGTGTATTTGTGATCCAGTTAGTTACATACTATAAAATGGTTAGGAATTTTGAAATCTTGAAATACTTTTGAAGATGGATAAGAAATAAGAAAGAGCATGTTGAACTGAGCTCAAATGGTGGAATTATGGTTACACATACAAACTTTACACTTAAGGATACTTGAAGAAAATCTGAAATAGTAAAATTTTCTTCCGAAACATATCCAGCAGTTTTCAGCCATTTTTTTAAAGGCAGAATTACACATAAAACTACACAGACAAAATGTCCAAACAATCACTAAATGACATGCATATTTTTTATAGACATATAACACACAGATCTATAAAATGTTTATATTATTTTCTAGAAATTGTACTTTTATCCTCAAATTAAGCGTTTATCATGAATTATATTTTTATGTAATTTAATATCAGAAATGTGAACAATAAAATATGCATGAATAAAAAATGTGTGTGGGTCTGCACATCATAAAAAATTTGAACGCATTGAAGAATAAGATGCAGAAATAGTGAGCGCACTGATTTATTTACAAGGAAAGTATGTGTAACATGTTTCTTTAAAATCTTATACTCTTTTCAGATAGTGAGTATCTGTGATATTGTTCTGAATCATACAGCCAATGAGTCAAAATGGCTTCTGGAGCATCCAGAATGTACGTATAACCTCGTAAACTGCCCGCACCTTCGTCCAGCATACCTTCTAGACTCTGTTCTACATCAACTAATGGTGGAAATATCCGAGGGCAAATGGGAGTTCTCCGGAATTCCTACAGAAGTCACCTGTGAAGATCATCTTTCTGTAAGTTTAATTTTTCTGATCACTGTTGTTTCCCATGGCGAGTTATACTTCTGAGTCTATACAGATATGTCATCAATTATATGTTTCTTGATTTATTTAATGATTGTTACAGATTTAATAGGTTATGTCTCACCATGTTTACTCTTCACCTTTGTATTTTGACTTTGGATCACATTTGGAAATGAAGGTTTGCGTTCTCTTGCCATCTCATTCAAAACAAAAAATATTGTCCCTAAAATCTGAATAGAGTAGGGGAAGAAAGTGACAGTATATGTTCTCATTTTATCAAAATCAATGCAGTAAAATCTAATTAATTTGATATTGGATAATTAAAAATCCAGTATAGTTCAAAGTTGCCATCTGAAATTATATGATTGTATATGGTTTTCCAAATTTAAAATCTAATTAGTTTGAAATTATTGTTTTGGCAACAAGCAATCTGATTTAACTTGTTTTTACTGAGACTAGATTCTTCTTCCCGTGTTTCAACTCAGTTTCATTTTAGTATAGCTCCCATATTCCATGTTCGATAGAATTTCACTTTCTTCCAGGCCATCCGATCAACCCTGCTTGGATACTTCTTTCCCCAAGTGAAAATACCAGAACTTTACATGTTGGATGTTGGTAGCTTGGTTAGTGATTTCTACTCTGTGGCTCGCAGTCGATTACCTCCTGTAGCAGGAACTTCACAGGAAACAGGACACCTCAAAATCATTCCAGATAAACAGTATCGCCGCCTCAAAGCTACTGTTGACATGGAACTAGCTCAAAGACTCTATAATGTGTACAGGTACTGTACATAATTTAAAGGATTTTGTACATCTGTAACAGTTTCCTCCATGTAACAAAAATATTCTATTTTTATTTTGTTTTGGTATGGTATTTCATTAGTGACTTCTCCTACCCCTTGTAAGTACAATTAAAAAATATATTGCAAAGGCCGATTGAAACAATTTTTTCATTTGCTCTACATCCATCTTGCATTACCAGAAATTAAGATTAGAGAGGAACTGTACTTTTCTCACACTCATTTATAAACAAGACCGGTATATGAACTTTTGACTTGTACCAAAAAATCTCTAATTAATCTCCACTGACATTAGCTTAACTCTTAGACTTTGGAAGCGTATAAATAAATGGGATGAATTTTTTAAAACTCTTCCATTATAATAAAACCTCACCTTCACTTTACGTAACTCATTTTCAACAAACGACACCCTGGTAGTGAAGTAGTAAGTCAATATATTGAATTTAGTGTAATTTTGATATGCCTTAAGATACAAATATAATGCATAAAATGATGCCCACTTATACGAAGAAATTTTAGGTTTTAAGATTTATTATGTGGTGGTCTGCAGTGGCCGCGCGGTCTGAGGCGTGGGTCTTGTGCCGCTTGGTTGCGGGGACCGTGGGTTCGAATCCCACTCAAGCCATGGATGTTTTTCTGTATTGTGTTGTCCTGTAAATAGGTATAGGCCTTGTGACAGGCTGATCCCTCATCCAAGGAGTCCTACCGAATGTCCATAGATCAAGCCAACTAAAAATTTGGGGACCCATAAAGGGTACCGGAAAATGTACAAACATTGTTAAACTGGAAAATAAGATTTAATATGTTCCAAATGCTATCTTATATCTGACTAGGGGTGACTGTTTTGAAGAAGATACCCGCCTTCATCACTGCGGTGAAGCTTTTAGGTTGCGTTTGGAAGAACTGAACCAGGCAATGTTCGATGAAATTCAGAACCATCTGGAGGCAGCTGTTGAAAACTGTATAGCGGGAATGCGGTATTTCCGAGTGCAACACGATGGCCCCCGTATTAAAGAAGTATCTGTCAAGAACCCACTGGTACCCAGGTGAAGAAACCTTAATAATTTCTACGTCTTTTATCTTAAAATCACTTACAGTTCATCATATCTTAAATCGTGTCTTAGGTGATTAATAGTAAAGGAACTGATATTATTTTGATCTCATTCTCTGTACAGGTATTTTACAGACTATGGTAATCCAAGTGGACTAGAAGAACAGGAGAAGTTATTGTATTCATCCGATGCCTGCTTCATAATGGCTCACAATGGATGGGTCATGAATGATGATCCATTACAGAACTTTGCTGCGCCAGGCTCTAATGTATATTTACGCCGTGAGCTCATCGCTTGGGGTGACAGTGTCAAACTCCAGTAAGTGCATTATCCTAATAAATAATAAAAATGAGTAAACAGGACAGAGCACCACTGATATTAGTACTTTACTGTCACATAAGAATGTAATGCAACTTATGTCTTATTTGTCGTATTGCAATGAATGTTACATGAATAAACTGAAGATTTTCTTGGTAATGAATTTATAAAGAATAATACCTTATAGTTTGTCACATATGATTATTTAATAAATGTTTGCTTATGCAATATTGCAGCTGTCCGTAGTTCAGAACTGTAGCGGCATTGCATTTTGTATGAAGTTCGCTACTTTGATGGTATCTTATGACAGTCATTTGGTTTCATAAATATATTCCCAGGTGACAAAATGATGGGAAAATCAACGTACACTTGATTGTTTACAGAGCGTGTGCAGAATACTTTAATAGACTACTCTAGAAAGCTGGGGAAGAAAATTAATGTAAAAATAAATGAACAATCAGAATATGTACTAGTCAGTAACAGTTTAATTAAATTTCTTGTGATACGATCATAAATAGAAAAAATAAATAAATATCTGGGGTCTGTTCTGTGCAGTGTTTTTTACCTATAAATAACTACCCGTGTTAAATTGAAACCTATCTGAAACGAAAACATATTCATGTCCCTTGCGATTTTCTTATGTAGAGGTTTTACTGTATATGTGATTTTTGACAGATATGGTGACAAGCCAGAAGATTGCCCATTTTTGTGGCAGTATATGAAAAAGTATGTTGAGCAGATCGCACAAGTTTTTGATGGAATCAGACTGGATAACTGTCATTCGACACCAATTCCAGTTGCAGAGGTAAGAAGTCATACATGTCTGTGACATCACAGCTTTGACATGTCCATTCATCTGCATTCTGTATGTACGTTTGATATCTGTCGTCTGGGTTGTAGCCTCCATCATCACCCTCCTTGATTTAATAATCTTATTAATATTCAGTGAAGAATAGAAATTATGGAGTTCCTCATTACGCAGTTTTCTCCACTGTCCAGTGACTTCATCCCTCTTTGGTTGACCTCAAACACCTTCATTCTGTTTTCTTCTGTAACAGTGCATGATTAATTTTCCAAGGATTTAGTTGATCATATGTATATATCACATTGACATAATTCTCTTGTCAATTGCAGTACCTTTTAGACGCAGCAAGGCAAGTGCGTCCAGATTTATACATCGCCGCTGAACTTTTCACTAACTCTGATCAGAAGGACAATATCTTTGTCAACAGACTAGGCATCTCATCTTTAATTAGAGGTATCATGAACCAGATATGTTTCCATTTATTATATAAAGTGAAACATCATTGAAATTATAACTAATATTTGTTAAAAACAAATTTTAAGAAATATAATATTTGATTTTCATGAGTTTCAACACGTCCTTTCATGTACTAAACCTGTATTTTATAAAACTTAGCATAAAATTGACTTATATTTAAGCGCTTGATACACTGAATTTTGTAGATAATTACCAGATTTTTTTTTTAGGTAACTGAATATGGATTTTCAGTGAAAGGATAGTTATTATGATATATTGCAAAATGTAGTTATTGAAGCATTTATGCAGTTTTGTCTTCGACTATTTTGTAGAGGCAATGTCTGCATGGGATTCTCATGAAGAAGGTCGGTTAGTTTACCGTTACGGCGGTGAGCCTGTAGGAGCATTCTTCCAGCCCTCGCTCCGGCCACTTGTTCCATCCATAGCCCATGCGTTGTTCTTGGATCTAACACATGATAATCCGAGTCCAGTGGACAAACGCTCGGTGTTTGATTTACTGCCAAGTACTGCTCTTGTATCAATGGCTTGTTGTGCATCGGGTAGCAGCAGAGGTTATGACGAACTTGTACCACATCATGTAAGTTTCATCCGGCAACTTAATTACCCTCAGAATCTATTTTCCGTCCTCTCCTTTTTC